ATATGCCCTTTTGGGCGTTAGTTGATCAACTCGAAATATCCAACTCATTTTACTTTTATTTAAATGCCAAATGGATTTTTCACGTCATTTTTATGTATTATCACTTGACATTTATATTTCAAGGGAAAAGGGTCAAATATGCCCCTAAACTATTCGAAAGGTCTAGATATACCCCCGTTTAAAGTTTTGGCAATTTATACCCTCGCGTCCAACTTTTGGTCTACATATGCCCTTATGGGTGTTAGTTGGTCAATTCGAAATATCCAACTCATTTTACTTTTCTTTAAATGCCAAATGGGATTTCACATCATTTATATATATTATCACTTGACATTTATATTAAAAGAGAAAGGGGTCACTTATGCCCTAACTATCCGATCCAATTTTAAAACACATATACGACCGTCTTTTAAATGGTTCAATTATGCCCCTAATCCGACTCATATATGTGTGAATTATTTTGTTATTTACGTCATCATCGCCTGCTGCAGCTTGCAGTTGTGTCTGTAACGTTGTTGCGGTGAACTCCTCTGCTCTAGTCCTTGCCTGCCAGGTTTGCGCCTCCAGCTCTGTGTTGCGCCAAAACACTTTTCAAACCTCGACTTCCTTTTCCTTTAGTTGTCGTGCCATTGATTCCTCGGCGGTTCCAATCAGAGTACGATAGTGTTCGCCATTTAAATGGTTCAATTATGCCCTAATCCGACCCATATAGGGTATTTAAAAAAAAGGTCGGGTTGTATAGATTATTTAAAAGACGGGTCGTATATGTGTTTTAAAATTAGGTCGGATAGTTAGGGGCATAAAAAACCCCTTTCTATTTTAATATAAATGTCAAGTAATAATATACAAAAATGATGTGGAAAATCCATTTGGCATTTAAAGAAAAGTAAAATGAGTTGGATATTTCGAATTGACCAACTAACACCCATAAGGGCATATGTAGACCAAAAGTTTGGACGCGAGGGTATAAATTGACCAAACTTTAAACGGGAGTATATCTAGACCTTTCGAATAGTTTAAGGGCATATTTGACCCTTTTCCCTTGAATATAAATGTCAAGTGATAATACATAAAAATGACGTGGAAAATCCATTTGGCATTTAAATAGAAGTAAAATGTGTTGGATATTCCGAGTTGGCCAACTAACACCCAAAAGGGCAAATGTAGACCAAAAGTTGGACGGCGAGGGTATAAATGGACCAAACTTTAAACGGAGGGTATATCTAAACCTTTTCAAATAGTTTAGGGGCATATTTTGGCATATTTGACCCTTCTCCCCTAAATAAAGTGTTTGTTTTTTGTGGTGTTTTAATGTTTTGTTATTTATATTTGAAGTAGTCTGGAAGATCTGTTGATATCTGCTCACTGTTTGAATCCAGACCTCCAGCAGATCTGAAGTCAACAATGAGGACAAGATTCTTTCCTCAGTCTCGGAGAAATTAAGAAGAGCAAAATTTGATGCAATCTTGAAACTCCAGCAAGAGAAGGGTGGTCTAATTGAAATAAAAAAGCATGAAGTGTTGCGGCCAGGTATTTATCTTCCACAACCTGCTGCATTACCCTCAACAGCATCCACCGAGGAGGCAAAAGAGCAACAAGACAAAGATCTGGCAGCCAACTCCAGAACAAATTCTAGTGGTTCCACAAACAAACCTAATACCAGTAGAGCAAGGAACTCCAGCACAAAGAAACACCAGGGGCACAATTCAAGAAAACAAGTTGCTCAAAGTTCAAGAAAACAAGTCACTCAGTGGGTTAAGAAAGAAAATAGTAATGCGACATGATACGAAATCCTGTTTCTCTTTTTTTTTTTAACAAAAAGAAAGCTGGAAGGAAAGAAAGCCATTGTTTCTTGTCATTATTCATCGTTCAGCTGACATGATAAATTCTAATATATCAATGTCAATCAGGGTTAAGTAGTGGCATAATTTGGGAAATCAGGGAAGTTGGCTGAAGGCGGCATCTACTGTTTATTGTGCTGAGTGTCATGACTGGAAGTGACAAGTTTTCCATTTGTAAGATTTCTGTACCTTCTATGATATCTTTCTCCAGGACAAAATATATATATATATATATATCAAAAACTTCTCGAGAACAATTACTTCTGTCTTGTTCCAGCGCTTCACTGAGTCTTGAGGCAATTCTGTGCTTTCACTATAAGTTTTATTGTGTTGATGTGACTGGATATATAAGTACGACTGCAGCTCTTCCCACAGATAAAGTATATTTTGTAGTCTTGATTGGTGATTTATTGTGTTCGTTTGCACTGAACGTTCCCAAAAAGGGAACTAGTGGGTTAATTCAATATAATGTTGGAATGTTAGGTAGTTCATACCATCCTTTGGGTTGATTTTTTTGCCAAAACACTTGGAGTGACACTAGCAATTTTATTTGTGGCTATGTAGTTATCATTTCATGCATGTCTAATTAGGATACTTGTAATGTCTCTGTGACAGGGGATAGTATGTATATATCTCAATGATTCTCAATCTCAACTATAATCATGCATATTATGACCAAATGTAGAATGATAATACAAAGGAAATTCGAAATATTCCAAATTAGTATAGCATAAGATACAACGAAGATTGAAGAATAATTAATAAATATTCAGCATCTTTGCTTTCGGTAAGAATAGCATTTCGAATTTTATCCCTGATTAATGACTAAATTTAAGTACTATCAAGTCTAAAATATTTTAGATGACATTTAATATAATTATGTATAACGTAGTTAACTTAAGCCAGCCACTTCAAATTATGTTTAAACTTATCATGAAATATATAAATATATATATATTAGAGTCCACCAACTTTATGGGGATAATTAATCCAAAATAGCAGCCTTAGGGATATTCCTACACAATCTTCGGAGTCTCTGTGTGAATTATTTCTTTACTAAAAAGGACCTTATGCCTATCCCTATGTCGATAATTTCATTACCATCTTATCAAATGATTGATGCCTTCCGATTGTACATTATATATCAAAATATTCTCTAGTTATATATTAGTTGATTACTTTCTTTTACACGAGAATTAAAAGATCAAAAATAAGAAAAAAGTTTTATCAATTTACCTCTTAAAAAACTTCTAAAGAATTTTACACTGTGAACGCTTTAAATTAGTGTGAGACAACTATTTTAAGCAAGATCATCAACTGATATGAGACAAAGGATGTATTAGACTATTAGTTATCCTTGTGAATTCAAATATCTAATTAATCCTTAAAGATATCCTAATATTTTAATCACAAACTTTAGTAGTTTAATTCACTTCCCTTTTTTTAAAAAGAAAAAAGAAAAAGAAGCATTGTACCTTTCGAAAGGCTATATTTACTACACTTTGATTAAAGGCATGATCCTTTGCAAAGTTAATCATTTAAAAATGATAGATATGTAATATTATTGTAAATGCTGATTTTAATTAAATCGAGTCAATATGGCTTGGTGAGGAAGGAGGGAATTTTGTGATAGTTACACTAACTATAAATTTATGCAAAATGTAAGTGTATATATATAGTATACAAAATGTACAACTAAATTATATACATAATAATGCGCTGCCCAAATCAACTATTTCTAACCAACAAATATTTTGGAGTAGTATTGCCTAATACTTGGCAGTACTATTCCGCGTCTACTCTAAATTTGAGTACTATTACTCATCGGATCATCAAAATAAGTAACTCCTGCCACCTCGGTTCGAGTCATTGCCTTGTTTTTAACGATGAAGACAAACTCGGAAAGAGGTGGATGGAGTTTCAAGGAATCAATAATTGGGACGGTTTGCTTGATCCACTAGACGATGATCTCCGCGGGGAGATTTTAAGGTACGGAGAGTTTGTAGAAGCAGCATATGGCTGCTTCGACTTTGACACGTCATCAGCCACGTATGCAACTTGTCGGTACCCAAAACGTTCGATGCTGATGCAGCGGGGACTAGGACGGAGCGGGTACAAGGTAGTAAAAAACTTGCATGCCACGTGTGCTGTTCAAATGCCACGTTGGCTAGAGAAATTCCCTAATTTGAAGTCCCCGCAATCCAGCTGGATTGGTTACGTGGCGGTATGTGATGACATGGACGAGATTGCCCGGCTGGGTCGACGTGACATTGTGATTGCTTATAGAGGTACTGTTACTTATTCGGAATGGCTTGAAAATCTACGTGTCACATTGACTTGCTTACCAGATGACATGTCTCCTAATGAAAATAACAAACCAATGGTACAAAGTGGACTGTTGAGCATGTACACTACAAAAATTGAAGGTCACATGCCAAGTTTACAAGAAACAATTAGAGAAGAAATTATCAGCATTCTGAATAATTATAGTGATGAATATTCTCTAAGCATAACAATTACAGGACATAGTCTTGGAGCAGCCTTAGCTACACTTACAGCATATGATGTAACAACAAAATTTAATAACTTGCCTATGGTGACAGTGTTATCATTTGGTGGGCCTAGAGTTGGTAACAAGAGCTTTAGGTATCAATTGGAAAAAAATGGTACAAAGGTACTACGAATAGTCAACTCTGATGATCCCATAACAAAAGTTCCGGGAATCGTGATCGACGATGATGATGTGGCACATCGAGGGGACGCCATGGTGGCAAGACTGCCAAGCTGGCTTGATAAGTACATGGAAGATGCTCCATGGGTGTATGCTGAGGTGGGGAAGGAACTTAAGTTGAGTAGCAAAGATTCAATTAGAAAAGGAAGTGTAGCTAAGTGTCATGATTTGAAGACATATTTGTATTTGGTGAATAATTTTGTTAGCTCATCGACGTGTCCCCTAAGAGCCACAGTAAGAAACTACTCCTTTCGTCTCTATTTACGTAACACTATTTAACTTTGACACATTTGATCCACAGTGAAGTTGCTACCTTTTACCTTTAAGAAAATTCTCTACATAGAAGGAGAAGGTAAAAGGTAGCAACCATCATTCACTTGGGCAACTATCATTTCATAAGAGTGACCAACTGTCTATACTCAATGTTACTTACTAAGACCTGAGGATATATAGTTAATTCAATCAGGGTAAAAAAGAGAACTTTACATAACATATCAACGATGGTGTGTATAATAACTGTTTCTCAATGTACAATATATAGTTACCGACTTTCATGCATATGTATGATATGGTAAGTCCTTGAGCCTTGAATTTTGGGTTTGATGCTAATGCAGATTGTTAGACTCTGGCTTTGAAGCATCCACATCCAAAGGATCCATTCTGAACTTGATTTTGATCTTCGGTATGGCTCTGAATTGGCTTTGGACTATTACCAGTAGTGGATTTGGGAGAAGGAGATTCAAACATCTGCAGCTCAACCATTTCCTTGCCTTCACATATTATCTTAACCTCACAGAATTCAGGTGCATTTAGTAGTATCTGATCCGCTGTTCCACTACCTTTTCTCGACTTTAGTTTCCTTAAGACCCATCAAAAGGAATTGAAATTAACAAGATCAAAATAATGAGGACTATGCATTCTATTATACAAGTGAGATTTCATACTTGAGATTGGCTTTAGAGGTGCCCAAGATCAGCCTTCTTATGTTGCAGATGGGCATAAGGTCCAGTATGGCTTTTGCTTCTGTATCGCTCTCTATAAGTATGGTGTCGACTTTAACCTATTGTTCAATGTGTTTCTTTACATGGTTAACCTCATGCTCTATCTTTGTGTATCAAGAAGGTATGCTATGCTAAGATGAATGAGTAGCCAATAATAATGTGTACCTTTGTAGCTGCGCATGCATCATAATACTTTTGAAGGAACTGCCGCCTCTTGCCTCTTTCTTGAGCCATGTGGTTCTCCTTTTGCTCTGCACTCACTTGACCTACTGGAATCAATCCCACTGTAGTAACCATAACCCACCAAGTAACGACAATTAGTCGATCAATATTGAAGTACTACTCTTAGTAGATTACAGCAAATTACACATCAATAACAATTACTCAAGCATGAAACAAGGTAGCTTCGTGATTCTGGACTGACTGATGCTAACTCTTTACAGGTATTAACTATCACAAACAGCCCTTAACCCAAGCAAGCTGATCCTGAATATAAATCCTGCTGGCCATTCAGTATCGTATACTCGATTGGGCATGTGATTTATCGCTAGAACTAGATCGTTGAACGGTTTCATAGTTTAGAATCATTTATTGTTAGCTAATCAAAACTAGTCTTTACAAATATCTTCATACAACAACAACAACATACCCCAATGGGGTCTAGAGTGTGTACACGAACCTCATCAAAAGCAGAGAGACTGTTTCCAGTAAACCCTTGTAGCCAACATAACAAAATAAAGTACAAGAAACAAGTGATAGATAAGTAACGAAACTCAAAGGAGAATACGATCTTACAAGGAGTAGGGATGTACTTTGTCTGAGGATAGATATGAATCAAGAAAACAATAGTAGAAGAAGGATCGACCACAACATTTTCGAGTGTCCAAAGAAGAGCATCCATACTTGTCTCCTTACTAATCTTATTACTATTCCCAACAACAACATAGACAACAGCATTCCCATTGTCATGGAAATCAAATGAATATAAAGTACTAGTTTCAACTTCATGGCCTTCTTTAATTGTTGCTAACCCTCCTCTATTATCAATCTCAAACAACTCACTTGCCCGAACATAACCATCATTAGTCCCCTGTTCCTCTTCTATTTCTTCAATTTCATTCTCTAAACTACTACTTCTTCCTAGTACATCATCGTCACAACACAATTGCTTCATCGCATTGAATGAATACAAACCTCAATTTAATTTCCTTTTTCAGGTTGTAAATTTCCTTGATTCAGACAGGAACAAAACCTAAGCCCTAATTTGACTTTTCCATTGATGTGGTTATCATTATGGTACAAGGATGCATGATATAGTAATTTAATGTCTGTATTAGAGAATATGCGAATACGTACGAGTATCTCGGCGTTCAAATTCAAACATTTTTATTTGACTACGACAATATAATCAATCATATACCCGGTTGCTATTTATGGGTCAATTCTTATATCTGCAGTTGAATCACGTGAAACAAAAGAGCGAATCATTCGGTGACTTTGTATTAAATTCTTTAAAAAAAATTTATTATTATTATAAAAAAGTATAGAAATTTCTACTTTTTTTTATTTTCGGATAAATCATTTTTAAGCAATGTATAGAGACATACATGATGTATTGAGACACCTATAGTCCTTAATATTTGTCATTTCCTAAAATCAATGCATAAATAATACTATTCTTTCTATTTTATCCTTACGAGTTATTAGTCTTTAATATATACATTTGACCGGCATAGAAAAACTACAAAAATAATGTACATTGGTCAAATTAATTAGTTCATATTCATTGATTGAAAAGTTGATTTTTTTTTAAAAAAAAATAAAGATAGAATAGTAATCTTACGTGGTTTCTTAATGCACGTGAAAGATAAAATGGTGAAACATAAATAAAAAGGAGGAAGTATAATATCTCTTTATTTTTTCTTCTATGTAGGAATATAATTTTTAGTGCTTCTACGTGGGAATTTCCCAGGCTTGGGTTTGAACTTAGGTATGGATAAATTCTTGTTAGGAGCACTATATTCTAATGAGCTCTTCAATCTGCAATTTGAATTTAGTCGGGACTTCAATGCAAGCTCCAAACACCGGGAGAATGTAATCGAGACAAAATATACCACATTTGTAATAACTGAGAATATCTTAAGAACATTATGTCTTAAGAAGTTTATAGTCCATTAGATATTATATTATTTCATTATATCTTTACCATGTTATGTTCTAATATAACAAGTAATTTGCATTATTCCTGGTTAACTAATTCAACAGTAGTTTACGAAGGTTACTTGTAATTATTTTTTTAGACCATTTATTCATTTAACCAAAGTTGAATTTCTTGAATAACTTAAAACAAAATGATATATATTCCTCAGACAATGTGAACATACAAGCGATAGTTCATTTTATTATTCATTCACTTGTTACATACTTGTACAACAGTCAAAATTATGACATCGTTACCAGATTTATGTAACAGTTTCTCCTCTAGTTCGCTCTGTTGTGGTTGTAGCTGCCTCCGCGGAAAAAACATTAGTCTGTTTACTGTTTTCTCCTCCGCTTATGGGCAATAGCTGTTCTTCTTTGATGCCTCAGATGATAGTATGGCACAAACTAAGCGGACACTGGTACATACTTCAAAATCCCGGTAAAACTGAAAGATCTACTATTCCCCTTGGCAAGTCTGCTATTTTCTTCAGCAGTGCAAGCCGATTTGTTCTGACCCGTTCGTCATCCTACAGTATGCATAAAGAACAAGTAACATAAGAATAGGAGGTTCACCGTATGCACTATAGTTGTATCAGCACTAGAGAATCAGGTGTAGATTTATGTTTAACCAAAACTTTGAAGCTACTTTGGTTCATCAAAGCATACATTAATGATTTCCAAGTGTGAGAAATGTGCATGTCATTGAAAACCATATGATAAAACACATACACGCGTGGAAGGAAAAAGTTCTAAGTAAGTCAAGAAACAAACTGCAGTGCAGGGAAGTATCAAAACGATCTTTTTATGGGGATTGAGGTGTAGTAATAGTCAGTATAGTGAAGTGCTACTGGCATAGGAATTAAAAATATCCCGAATTTAATCCAAGAGAGTGTGGCTTCAAGTATAATATTGGGTACCAAACCTATCAGACTTTATTTGAATTATTCATAAATAAAACTACGTAATTCCCAACTGGTGGAGGAATATGCAAGCAGATGTCTAAGCTAAAATATAACAATGTCTAATTGCAATTGGTATATAGGTTCGGAATATGCAGCGGAGATGTCAAAGGTTAGAACAAAATCAATAATTTAGCATGAGATAGAAGGGCATAATATACGTCATAAGCCGCAAAAGAAACATGAAAAACTGTAGAGCAGAGCTCTATTATGGTCACGAATTTTTTTCAAGAATTGAAATGAAGAAATAACTGGCAGTAGGTAATTATAATTTGGGCTATCCTGCTAGTTTTAGACATTATGAGACAAACTACTCTTCTTTTAGATCAGAGAGAAACTGAAATAGAAAAGAAAAAGCAGATTGATGCAAGCACCAAACAGGAAGGCGTTCAATAGGAGATAAGAAGAATAAACTTAACAAAGAAAACATGATACTCTATACGATGCATTTCCATCTAAGATAGGAAAAACCATGGTAAGCAGAGCTATAGGCCTATACTCTGTTGGATGTGCAGAAATCAAGATTATCTAGTCAATGCTTTAGAACTATGAAGTTTTCAGATGTAAGAAGTAAAATGAGATCAGAGGAACATACCACCATTACAAAGACCTCGTTGAAAAAATCCTCCAGCGGTTCTACAAGTACTGATGATGCTTCAACAAAATCATCGACTTCCATGTCTGCAAATGAACATTAGTCATACATGCATGCTCAATTGTATAATATTTGGTGAAAAACTCAATCCACCAATAAACAAGAAGCAGAAGTTGAATGTATTTACAATGTAACCTCAATGTAACAGACAGCTACAATTTTTTTGAATATATTACGAAAGGTTAATCATCTAGAGGTGAGGCAATACCTGGATGTATTTTACTTTTTAGTGACAAGAAAGTGTTCCACAAAGCTTTCTCTTCATTTGTTTCAAAAGCTTGATCATCCACCTAATTCATAATGAAAATATGTTTTTGCTAGATAAGATCAATGAATGCAAATAGACAGCCAACTAAATCATTCATGTTGCAGAATTGAGCGTTTCAGAGGCGTAATAAAAAAAGAAAGGATCAATTTATGCTCAATACTCTGCCAACTATCACCAGTGGCAAGAAGAGTCATGATTCTTGACTAAAAAGGGAACCCCATTGCTACATATTGTAAGATGTCCATGGAGCTTGACAATATTAACAATTGTATTACCAATTCAGCAGAGGAGATTTGAAACAATTTTTTCCTAGTTGTCAAGGAGAAAAGCTTCTACATAACACCAAAAATGACTTTTATATCAAGAATGCGATTTTTCTACAGGTGCAACTTACACGCATAGCTATTCTATAAAAGAAAATTAATGGAACAGAATATGTTCAGAACCTGGTATAGTGGAGTATAATCACAAAGAAGATTTATGTTACAGAAGGAAATTTGCTGAGTATAGAATAAGAGGCACCTCCACATCAACATTGGCATCCTTCCCGCGAACAATTCTTGTTGGACGTGAATATGCTTCAACAACCTTAGGCAAAAGCTCCCCTTTGGACAAGGACTCCATCTGAAAATGCCGGTAAAGAGAAAATACTCACTAGTGCATTTATGAGTTCCCCTACTTTATATATTTTAAGTGGACCATAACAAATTGGACAGAGAAGAACTCTTCTCCATAGAGCATCATAAGCTGTGAGCCTCTTGGATATAGGGTATTCTAACTTTTTGTTGATAAAAATTTTAAAAGATTATTTTGAATTGCCATATGGAGTAGAAAAGTACTGCGGCTTAAGACATGAAAGAGGCAAAAATATCAGCATAGCATAATAAGAAATAATTAAGTGCACAAGCAAGGAGAAGGATGGTAGTTACTTTGTACACTGACTTAGTCGCCAAACCAGGTCGTCTTGCACGCTCGGAAAGAACAGACCTAACGACTTCTGGGCTTATACCTTTGTCCATCTGTAATTAAAATGCAGCAGACATGTATCAATTTATATGTCATCATTTGTCTTAAAAGTCGTCTTTTCTTTCCTTTTGGAGGAGGGAGTTATAGAATGGCCTAAAGACTGTCAATAAGCAAAAGACCATACTCCTCTTTACAAGGATAATTCATAAAAAATAAAAATAAAAATTATTGAAGAGATCAAAATTTATCAAACGATCTTCATATGCTGAAAAAAAAAACCTAGAAATAGTTCATGCACTAAGATGATAATATATGGAGCCTAGAGGAGGCAAAGTCAATCCAATTTCTCCTTCTCAAAAAATAATCCAATTTCTGTGAAACCAAGGACATATTTAAAAGATTACTAACTGTGGAAAGAAGAAAAAGAAAACCAGCAGAACAAATTAACAACAGCAGAGTATTAGTGTGCATGAAAATGGAACATACCAGAAATTGTTCTAGTCTGCGTGTTACAAATTGATGTACCTTAAATTGAAAAAAGAAAAAGAATATCATGTCATATTATGATTCCTGAAGTTGCAAGAATAAGATATAAGAGAAGACTGCATACAAAGGACGAAAGATTACCAATTTATATTCCTCCCCCCGGTCCCATATTATTTGTCAACATTATTTAAATTATCCATCCCAGAATGTCAATTTCCAAAACCAAGAAAGAATTAATTAAATAATTGCCATCTTGCCCTTAAAATTGATTGTTTTAATAAAGTAAACTTCACAATGCAGAAATATTGTAAATTTGAATAGTTCAAAAAAGTTATCGGTAACCTTATTCCTGTACACAGTTAGTCAAAAGAGGGAACTACATATGCATTAAGGGGTCGTTTGGTTACTGGTTAGAGTTATGCAAGTATTAGCTATGCAGGGTTTAGTTATGCAAGTATTAGTTATGCAGAGTTTAGTTATACAGGTATTAGTTAAGCAGGATTTAGTTATACAAGTATTAGTTATGTAGGTTTTACTTATGTAGGTATTAGTTATGTAGGTTTTACTTACGTACGTATTAGTTATGTAGAGTTCAGTTATACATGTATTAGTTATGCAGGTATTATTTAGTTATGTAGAGATCACAATACATAAATTATTAACGAGTAAATGTTGAATTTATTGTAAACTTAACAGGCAACTGCAAGGGGGCATACTTACCCTACCCAGACCAACGGAGATAGAATCAAGTCACTACTTTCGTAATCATCTAAACTAACTAGGGAAGGGCAGCAATCTTACATCATTGATTGTACTGACATCAACTTCAATGGGTTGCACTGCAGCAGCAAGTTCTAAAGCCTGTCGTAAGTCCACAT